GAGCCCCCGAGGCCTAGGGTATCGTACGGAGTTCGGAGTCCGGGGACTGGAACGGATCACATGTGGAGTTCGGGGAGTTTGCAATGGAGGACGTGGGAAAGTGAGCGGAAAAGGAAGCCAGCTTGATCGGCAATTTTTAGGGCAAGCGGAGTCGGGGAGCGGATAGTCTATGAAGGTCGGGGTGCTGCAGGTCCAGTGCTGCAGGTGTCGCCTAACCCCACCATACTTGCTGCCCCCCTTTTTCTTCCAAGTCGAGCACCATACCTGGAACTCCACCCATCGAGAAGCAGCAGCAGCTGCTCGCCCAGCTCGAAGCGGTGCAACAGCAGATCTGGAAGGATGAGGAGCGCGCGGAGCGGGATAGGGCGGAGCGGGAGAAGGTGGAGCGGGAGCAGCGGGCGAGGGAGGAGGTGGAGCTGCTGGAGTGGGAGAGGGCGCGTCTGCAGAAGAAGCTGGCGGAGCGGCAGCGGGCGGAGAAGGAGCGGGCGGAGAAGGAGCGGGCCCGGAAGCCTATGTCGGGGCACGTCGAGTCCCACCGGAGTTCCCCGGAGGCTGGCCCCAGCAAACGCCGCCGCGACGACGACGACGCCGACGACGATAACGACGACGACATTGTCAACATCACGCCCAAGCGGAAGCGGGCTCGGACGGAGACCGTGTGGGCTCCGGTCAAGTAAGTCCGGGGTTCCACTTTCGGAGTTGTACTGACTTGTTCTTGCAGAAAATCTTGCGCTGAGTGCAAGGAGAAGAGGATCGCCTGCCTCTTCTCCGTGGGTTGTTCGCGTGTCCGGGCCTGTCAGGCCTGCGTGAGGTCCAAGACCAAGTGCACCGAAGGTCAGTGGGCGGACAAAACCCCTGCCGTCGTCATCTCCGACAACGAGCCCCTGGTGACTCCCACTGGTCCGTCCACTCCCCGCAAGAAGGCAGCCCCGGCAGAGAAACCAACGGAGAAGGTGGGGCCTGCGCCTGGGTCCTCGTCCAAGGCCCGGGGGAAGAAGCGGGAGACGACGGCGGAGCGGGAGGAGAGGGAGCGGAAGCAGAAGGAGTTCGAGCGGAAGGAGAAGGAGATCGACGACGCGGTGGCCCCCACGGAGGCCGATCTCCCATTCAGCCGGCGTGCTCAGAGGGAGATTACGGTCCTCAAGACCCTCCGCTACGCCATGTCGGAGATCCGGCAGTTCCGGGAGGAGTTGGAGGAACTCCGGCGCGAGATGCGCCTTACTCACAGCGCGATCTCCGACCTGGCCCGGAGCCGGGAGGGGATCTACCAGGAGTACTTCGGCGGGATCACCAACCTCCTGGAGAGGGAGCCCTCGGACGGCGAGGAGCACCCGGAGTCAGACCCGGACTGGGCGGAGATGGGAGAGTTCGGCGTGGGGGATCCGGATTGGGCGCTTGGGTCGGAGGCAGAGCATGGACTGGAGCCGGGACAGGAGGAGGCGGGACAGGAGCAGGGGCAGGAGCAGGAGTAGGGATTCGGACATGGACACGGACACGGACACGGACTTGGTAGCGTAGGCAGACCCTTGTAAAGTGGTAATAGGTCATTTCGTTTTTCTTGTCAAGGATCTGTGTACCTCAACGTCTGCCTGTATGGAGTTAGTCGGAGACAGATGGGGATCTGGGGTACTTAGCGGTTCAGAGCTCCCACAGCGGTCCGAGTTTGCCTGGGTACGCGGAGTGGAAGTCCGAGACGAGGTCCCGTGCATGTCCGAGTTCTGTAGCAAGGATCCAGGAGGTTTCCTCGTCGGTGCCCTCGTATCTGGCCCACCGGACTTTGTACAGGAGTTGGCACTTCCGTCGGTGTTTGTCCAGCTTCGAGTTGAGGATTTCCACGACCTCGCATTCGAGTTCTCCGTCGACCTCAACCGGAGGTGGCGGAGTTTGTACTCGGCCTGGAATGGTGTTCGGAGTTGCGGGTTCCAGCTGGGAAACGTGAAAGACGGGGTGCACTGCTCGCATGGAGTCCGGAAGCCGGAGGGTAAACAAGTGCGATTCGACTTGGGCGATAATGGGGAAGGGCCCAAGGAACTTTTCGGAGAGCTTCTTGGAGGGGCAAGTGGAGCGGATGTGCTGTGCCCGGATGTAGGCCAGGTCTCCGACGCGGAATTCCGGGGCCGGTAATCGGTGTTTGTCCGCTTGAATCTGGTAGCGGGCTTGGGCCTCGGAGATGTGCTGTCGGAGTTCCGCATGGAGTTTGTCCAGGTCGACGGCAAATTCGAGTGCTCGGCCGGAGGTGATGTCACGCTCCGGGTGGACCGCGAGTCCGGGGTGGTATCCCTTGTTAGCGAAGAACGGAGAGATGCCGGTCGTTGCGTTCGGAGCATTGTTGTACGCAAACTCCGCGAGCAGAAGGAGACGGGCCCAGTTGTTCTACTGGTAGTTGCAGTAGATCCAGAGATATTGCTCGAGGGTTTGGTTGACATGTTCCGTCTGGCCATCGCCCTCGGGGTGGTACCCGGAGGTGAAGTGGAGATTCATGTCGAGGATAGTATAGGACTGAACGTGGATCCAGCTCACCTTGCGGATCGATCCTCAAAAACCCGGAGTCGTCATTGAGGATCCAGCTCACTGAGGATCTGGATCAAGGGTTATGTCAAAGTTGGTATGATCCGCAGATCATGACCCCACGCGAAATGTGTTTAAAATTGATAAATATGTATAAAACAACAGTGTTTCTTGCATTACTCTGAGGCTCACTGAGGATCAGGAGCCGCAAATGAGCCAGATCCGCAGTGATCCAGATCTGCAAACCAGGATCCTTGAGGATCTGGATCAAGGCTTCTGATCCTCAAAAACCCGTGGGTGAGGATCCGGATCGAGCTGCGGATGATCCGCGTTCAGCCCTAGGATAGTACCAAGGGAGCGGAAGAAGTGGGACACGAATTCTGAACCACAGTCGGAGGTAACGTGGGATGGAACTCCATGCTTGGAGAAGACGTGTTTGAGGAACAGTTCTGCGAGTTCTGGAGCATCGAGCATGTTGTGCGTCGGAATGAAGATGGCCTGCTTGGAGAGTCGGTCAACGATGACCAGGATGTCCATGAAGCCGTCGGAGTTGGGTAGCTGCTCGATGAGGTCCATGGAGATGGAGTTCCACGGACGCTCCGGAATCGGAAGTTGCTTGAGTGTTCCGTAAGGGAGGTGACGGGGAGCCTTGGATCCCGCGCAGGTTGTACAGGACTTGCAATAGTCCCGGACAAAGAGTCGGAGTCTGGGCCAGGCGTATTCCCGGAGGACCAGGGCTTCAGTCTTGTTCTGGCCCCAGTGACCAGCGGTCGGGTAGTCGTGGTAGGCCCGGAGGACTTGGAGACGGAGGTCGTCGGAGTCCGGTACGTAGATTCAGCCGTTGAGCCGGAGGAACCCTTCTTCATCCTTGGACCAACGGGGGTTGCCTTCGGAGGCCGATTTGATGGCTGCGGCGAGTTCGGGGGATAGGGTATCAGAGTTCTGGGCTGCTCGGATGTCGGAGCAGAGCTTCTCAGCATCGAAGAGCACGGAGGCTCGGAGTACCGGTTCTCGGAGATACGTCGCTCAGAGAGATGCGGTGAGTTGCTCCTAGGTGAACACCGGCCGGAAATTGTGTGGGTTGACGGCAGAGTAGTCACTATCCCCCCCTTTTGGGTAAACGTCCCAACGGCAGGTCAGTGCGTTGGGCTTGGCCCCAAGTTTTCTGGGACGGAACCGGATGACCAGGTTGAACTGCAACAGGAATTCCGACCACCGAGCCTGGCGCCGGGTCAGCATCTTGGAGGTCACAAAGTACTCTAGATTCTTGTGATCAGTGACCACATCAATCAGAGTTCTGGAGCCTTCAAGGCAGTGATGCCAGGTCCGGAAGGCTTCGTAGATTGCCAGGAGTTCCTTGTTGTGTGTGTCGTAGTTCAGTTCCGCACCGGACAAAGTCCGGGAGTGGAAGGTGACGGGATGGAGTTCACCGGAGTCGGTAGTGATGGAGAGAATTCCGGCAATGGCGTAGTCCGAGGCGTCCATTTCAATGGTGATCTGTTGGTCCGGTTCCCAGTGGCGGAGTACGGGGGCGGAGGTGAAGGCCCACTTCAAGGTGTTAAAGGCCTTCTGAGCATCGTCGGAGAAGTTCCACGGGATGGATTTCCGGGTAATCCGGGTCAGCGGAAGGACAATCTCGGAGTAGTTATGGATGAACCTCCGGTAGAAGTTTGCGAAGCCTAGGAACGACTGGATGTCGCAGACTTTTCGGGGTTCCGGCCAGTCCATGATCGCCTTGACCTTGGAGTCAGTCATGGTGAGGCCTTTGGAGGAGAGGATGTATCTGAGGTACTTGACAGAGTCCGTGTGGACTTCGCACTTGTCCGCGCAGGCGTAAAGCTGATGCTTCCGGAGACGTCAGAGCACTTCCCGGACATGTTTTCGGTGGTCTGCCGGATTGTCGGAGTAGATGAGGATGTCGTCGAGGTAGACCACTACGCAGACATCTAGCAAGTCTACGAAGACCTTGTTGACAAAGCGTTGAAACGCTGCAGGGG